CCCCGGCCTCTTGGTGGCTGGCTGGGTGCTAGGCCGGCTGGGCCGCCGAAGGAGCATGGCCCTGGGCGCTGCGCCGGGCCTCCTCGGATGGCTTCTGGTGGCTCTCGGGGCCAACGTCTCCATGCTGGCAGTCGGCAGGTGCGAATCACATTGCGATCACTGTCTCTGGTGCAAAGGACCACATAGTATATAGACCGATGGCCTGTAAGTAAAACCTAAATAACTGTTCACAGAGGCTCTGCTTATACCAGTTCCACGTTGCAGGATGTTGCAAGGCTTCACCTTAGGGATGGTGTCTGTAGCAGCCACGACCTACATTACCGAGCTGCCCGACGCGTCGATCCGTGGCTTCGCCTGTGTTCTTCCAACCTTGTTCTCCGAAGCAGGAAACCTCTTCGTCGCCAGTCTCTCGCTTGTACTGCCTTGGTACCACCTGGCTTTTGTCTGCGCCTCCGTCACCGTTCTCTTCATTGCCATTACATTCCTACTGCCGGAGAGTCCTTCCTACCTCGTGGTTTGCAAAGAGGAATCACGAGCGCGCAAAGTCCTCGCCATGTTGCGAGGTCCTGATGTCGACGTGGAGGAAGAGCTGAGGATCCTCAAGAAGCAGAACGAGGGCTTGGCGGGCGACAATCCCGGCTGGCGGTCGCTTCTGAAGGGCGTGGTCGTTCGGCGGGTGCTTGTGGTCGTGGCGCTCTTCCTCATCCAGAGCTTCAGTGGCCTCATGGTCTTCGTCTCGAATGCGTCGAGAATCCTCCGCTCCGTCGGCTCGGCGATGGACGAGCGGCTCAGCACCATCGTCGTCTTCGGGGTCGAGCTGCTGGGATGCGCCTGCTCGTGCTGCCTGCAGGATCGCATCGGCCGGCGGAGGTCCGTGGTCCTCTCCCTTGTGGTCATGGCGGCCGCTCTTGTCGCCATGGGCACGTACGCCTTCCTGGCTGGCAACGCAGCGGCGGCGGCCCTGGAGGTGGCGGATCTGCCGGCGAAAGCCCTCAACAGCACCTTCTATCTGCATGTGCCTCGGTAAGGGGGGTTATGGACGGGTTTGGGGACCTGCGTAATGGTATTAAAACATGTTCGACGATGATGGCTAAAAATTCAATATATCCATACCAAAATTAGTTTCACAGTCCAGGTTCCTCACTGATATCTTCAGAGAGAAGGGCGAGCAGCTGAGGGTGGTCGCTGAACCGAGCATGGACGTGATGAAGGAAGTGGGCTTGGCCGGCTGGGAGTGGGTGCCCCTTGCCTGCCTGGTAGTATATATGTTCGTCATGTGCCTGGGCATCCGCACCGTGCCCTACATCTTGGCATCGGAATACTTCCCGACAACCATCAGGCCTCAAGTGAGCACAAAAAATCTCCCTTGGATCCACAGACTGCTCTTGCACCATGTTAAATGAGATTGATAGCCATTCTTATTTTTATTTTTTTCTTTGCCATTTCCTTCTTCAAGTTGATAACATTTTCATAATCATTATCATAACTAATATTATTATCATCATGATCGGAATTATAGTTAGTTATTCTAAAATCAATTTCAGTGGAATTAGTAATTTACGTCTATGTTAGACAGTTGTTTACACACCTCTTCCAGCTATGAACTTTCGGTCTCTTTCGCAGGCAACGAGTGTGTGCATGACCTTCGCCAGCTTTATTATTTTCGCGGCCCTCCAGACGTACAGCCTGCTCCTGGAGGTGCTCACACAGGCCGGCCTTTACTGGACCTACGGCGCCGTGGCGGCCTGCGGGGCGCTCTTCTCCCTGGTCTTCATCACAGAAACCAGTGGCAAGACCGTCGGCTGAGGTCCGGCAGAGAGACCGTTGGCTGAGGTCTGAATAAGAGACAGTCAGCTAATACCTGGGTGAGAGACCGTTGGGTAAGGCCTCGATGAGAGACCGTCGGCTAAGGCCTGGGGGAGAAACCGTCGGCTAAGGTCTGAAAAAAAGACCGTCGGCTAAGGCCTGGCGAAGAGACCGTCGGCTGAGGTCTGGCGGAGAGGCTATCGGCAGAGACCCAGGTCTGAAAAAGAGACCGTCGGCTAAGGCTAGGGGGAGAGACCGTTGGCTGAGGTCTGAAAAAGAGACCGTCAGCTGAGGTCTGGCGGAGAGACTGTCGGCAGAGACCCAGTAGACAAGACCAGAGACCATCGGCTGTGGCAAGCGGCTAATGCCCGGCTGTCCAGTCGGTGGTAGAATCTGGGCTCTCAGACTCAGGACTGCCTGTCTACCTCATCGCAATAAAAGTTAATGGCTCTGTCTAAACTGTTTTGTAATATGTGGTTTTAGTTGTGCAAAAGACTAATTTTCTGAGAGGTGTTGTTACAGCCTTGTATGTGTATTTTTAAGAGGATCCTTGAAATCCTGAGATTCCCTGTGTAACCAATTTTTCTTGGTCTACTAGGTACATTGTTGTTTAAGAGGCAATAATGTGCACGATCAATGTGACTTTTAAAATGTGAATGTTTCCGGATTTAAGAGTAAAACCATCTAATGTTGA